GGCCATGCAAAACCCAATTCCAATCAGTCATCCAGGTCCAGTACTACTAAGCAAGTTTCTCAACTTTTGTTGGGCGTGGTGGGCACATTGTGTTTCAAGATAATGATCTTCTCTCCATTTCATAAAGAATGTGGAGGGAGAAGCCCAAAAAGTGCTACCTTTGAAACAATGAGAATGCTTATGGGCAAGGAAGGGTAGAGTTGGATCCAGAGGTTTTTTAAACAAGAAAAGTTGGTTTTGTTTAGGAAACAGGAGCACAAGAACATATCTAGACTATAACCATGGAAACTCTGACTAAACATGACAAAATCTAAGAAAAACACCACAAAAGCACGTAAAAACCACACCCGCATAACGTCGAGCTCTCTTAACATTGTTGGTTTAACACCTGATTCACTTGATGTCCTTTTAATGTTCTTTTTGTACATCAGTATGTGCCTGTGAGGCCACTGATAGCAAATGCCACCAGGCAGCTTTGCCTGACCCAAAAGAGGAGCACAAAAGCCCTGTGTCCTCAATGAGATCTTCAGGCGTTCGTCCCTGGATGTCTTTGATATCTTTGTCGGCCCCATGTGCGAGAAGCCAGATCACAGCCTTGCAAGAAGCGAGGTCTCTTGGTCGGAAGGGCTCAACCTTCTGCGTTCATTATGCCGGCGTCTTGAGACGGGGTGCCCATGAATTGGCCTGCGTTGCGCAGGTGTAACAAGAAAATACCAGGGGGTAGGCTTGGAACTGCTATATAACTGGTCCAATGTTGCCGCCCCTTTCTTGCGTCTGAGCTCTTCAACCAAGACCAGGGGTTGTTTGGGGTTGCCCACCCTGCCTCGGTCGCCCACCCGAGACGGTCGCGCTCGTTCGGGGTCTTCGGCCGAGAAAGCGCTCCTTCGGGTTGTCCGACAGGACAGCCCAATGAAGTGGTGTAAAGCCTTCCAAGGTATCCTGGAAGCACACCGAGACGAGCAATTCACTGAGACGAGCCGATTTCAAGCAGGGACCATGTACAGAAAGCAGCATGGAAAAAAACGAGTTGAATCTCACTCAAGGGATTCGTGTGTCAAACCAATTGAGACACAAATCAAATCCGTCGATTCTCACATCGTCAGGCCGCTGCACTTGGTGGAAGTGAACTGCTTGGAGCAACAAGGGGAAAACAACGAGTCAAGAAACCGTATGAAAGAAAAGGAATCCAAAAACCGACGAGACGAAAACGGCGGATGTGTTGCACATCTCTGGGGAACGAACACTTTAGATCCCTTCTCAACGTTTTCTCTCCTGCGCATTGATCTCTTGCGTGGTGGCCTTCTCGAGCATTTTGAAGCCTTGACCCTCGAACATGGCACATTGAGCACCTCAAAGGACCCGAAAACGAACTCGAAGGACCGGGCGTCGAAGCCAGTAGTATCTAGTAATGGCCTCCACCCGAGTGGCGATGGCCTCCAACCTACTAGCTTCTTGCTACTGAGTTCGGAGCGACGGCAGAAATCCGGGTCACACTGGAAGCATGTCGAAGGGTTGAAACAAAGTCCACAAGTTGTCGAAAGTAGAAATCACTATGTGAAGTTCAGTCAAAATGAGTGGATCTTTGCAAAAGGCTCAGAATGAGGGGTCTCTGACACCTAAGAGTTTTCTCATCTTTTAGACTCTGTGTAAGGTGGGACAGTGTCTTGAGTGGCCATTTTGCCTCCCCCTGAAACGGACGATCCTGCGGTGTCTTTCGTTCGGGCCATCTTAGATCGTCTTAGGGTTCTTCGCTGGACGAGGAGGTGACTGGACCGATCGCAGTCGACCGCCGTCGCAGGTCGTGTAGCCGCTGGTCGTGTGGAAAGCACCGCTACACGTCGACATGATGCTTGACACCGAGAGGCAACAAGTGCCTGTGTCCAAGGGGGCAAACAAGAACAAGCGACAGTGTCCCGGCAACCCCTTTGATCAACTCTTATGCACAAACCCTTCTGATGACAAGTGATCTGTGCCTCTAAGTGCCTTTATTTGCTTTCACTGCAAAAAGAGACACTGCCTGTGACCTCCATAATCCCCGCACACCGACACCGTGCCCATAATCCATAGAATATGAATCCAGTGAAAGAAATACTAGGCAGCCTAAGCCTTCATCTGCAATGCAGTGACCCCACCACCCCATCCACTCAGGTCGCCCCCACCAATGTGAGCCACATTCCATGAGTGGATGTTATGTCTTCTCTTAGAGCCCATGTAGTCCTCGTTCCGCGTTCGGGGCACGGTTGGGAGACGCGTCAGTCGTTGAAGAAAGGCACTGGGAACGGAATCCGATAGGATCTCTCCGGCTCGGTCGACGTCTGGTCTACAACGTCTACAGTACATGGTCTACACTACCAGGGGAATTCTGATGCACCTCAGGAGCAGAAGGCTGTTTGACCAATGATCGCCATGTGCAAATCATTGTCATGTGTTGAGCTCAACGAAAAGGTGCACAAAAGTTCTATTGTATGAGTGGTTGCATTGACACAAATCCAGATACCCCCACACAGAAAGCTTCGGGTTCACGATCCTCCGGCTGCAGCTTCATGGAAGGTTTTTGCGCATCGGGATGTTTCACCTCACAAAGAGCCCCACGGGCCACGGGCCGGAGACGATCCTCTCACATCCCACAGATCTGGAGATCATGTCAGACGAAGCCAGTGAAACAACGACGCTACGAACGGGGCTCCTGGCCTTGCGAACGGAGCAAGGAAGCTAGAAACGACAAAACAACATGGCTAGAGATTCCATGAACGCAACAGTGTCAGCTCTGCCCCGATCTCTTGGGCTCTCTGTGCGCTGGAAAAACTGCCACGAAAAGCGGACACATGAAGAGAATCATTTGTAAGTATGGATATATGACATGATATGATGGTGGATCCAGGCCATTGAGATCTAGCAATATGTCCGATTGGGTCATCAAAAGCTGGGTGAGCGAACCCACTTGGGGAGCTGGTAGCTCTCAAAAGGCTTGTGCCCAGGCTGATGTTCCCACCTGCCAAGTGAGTCCAGTCTGGGACTGGCTCCCAACGCATGAGTTGCAAGTGGTGTTTGGCTGAAATCCCCACGACTTGTACTGAAATACCCATTAAGATGTTCAGCCAAGGGTCTCCAAAAATGCAACACAGTAGTCCAGTCTCTCGGCAGTTTTGTTCCGTTTCATCATTGAGTTGTTCAAGTTGTTCATCCTGACTGAACCTGAAGGTCTTGGTATACATTCCCTGCTCGGTCTTCGTGCCGATAGTCATTGCTCCAGCAATTCCAAAACCAAAGCAGGACATGATGTTGAGCATACTCGGAAAAATATGGACCACAACGTCTCCAAATAGTCTGCAAATCTTGCTACTTCAGCCTGTGATGGAAAACGGTTTTACGGTTTTCTCATCTGAGAAACCCAGAAACCGCCCTCCGTGACATCGCGCAGGGCACTTGACGATTCTTGGGACCACTCGGGGTATTCCGGTTGGAATGCCCTCTCGGCTCACGAGCCTCGCGGCATGTTGAACTGGAAGGAAAATGACCCATACCCACTGGGTGACCCACATCTTGCCAAATTTCTGGACAAACTGAACAAACATGAAACAAACACGGCATCATCACTGAGATCGCTGCTCTTCACTGATAGGAGCATTTGGCACGTCCAAAGTCCCCATGGCCCCGTCTTCCTCAACCCATTGAACACTTCTGAGCCACAAGACAGCACCAAGCACAACATCCGGCATCGCACAATCTACTCAGTTCAATCATGGCAAAAAAGTCTAAGAATCAGAGTGGCTCAAGTCTGAGTGATGAATTAACAAACCAGGGACTGTATACCTGCTCTTGACAGTCTTGACCCCAAAGATATCGGCCCTGGCAGCCGTAGGATTTCGCAACTTTCTTGAGGTTAGTTAGCTTTGTTTCCAGGGAATCCATGCAACCAGCTACCCTGCTGATGCCCAAAACTTTGGGAAGCAATGGCACGGAATCGACCTTCTCCGCTCATGGGACACTGATTTTTCTCCGTGTCTCATCACGGGCACTGTGTGGACTTTGGATCCTTCGAGCTCTTCTCCGGAGTCAGACACCAACTCTGGAGATGCATCTGAGTCAACACCTCAAACGTCAAGCAAGTGAAGCTGTGATAGCTACTAACTGTAGGAACAGTAGTGCAAGTCCTAAAAAAGAACGCCAATCTTTCTCAGAAGCTCCTGCAAAGCATCTGATTGTGAAGCTTATGTACTGTCGCGGAGATCCACACATCGTGTGCATGGAGGAAAAAAAGAAAACTGCCGAAAAGCACTTCTCCGAATAGTCAAAGGATTCGCAAACACACCGGCTCGGTTCCCTGAGCTTTCGGCCCACGCTTTTGTTGGGCCCAGCCGCAATGGCCGCTGCCCGGCGTGCCGCTACACCCGGCTTCCGGACCAAGGAACGCCCGCGCCCCCGGCCGCCGCATCCCGCGCCACGGTGGCCCCCGCGCGCGGAACTCGGCGCAAGGGGAAGCAATGGGACCTGCGCGGTCAAGCTCTGATGCTCCGGGAACACGGAAATGACCATGAAATGACCTCAAGAGTTGCCGAATCCTCTGTAATGTCTACAGATGGTCAATTCGCCAATTAGGAGCATGCCCTCATTCCTTGCCGCCGTCAAACGACTGTAATTGAAGCATCAGCGGTATCAGTATGAGTATGGGCGTCGGCCCATTTGTGAGCAATAGATACACTGATACACTGTTGCTGTTGCATTGCCTAGGCCCACTGGTACAATCTATGAGAAATATAGAGTTCAAAAAGATATTCATATCTTTTAAATAACTATATAACTATATAGTGATTGTCTAGTGAAAATAAGGAAATAGGAATCGGAAGGAAGATACCCTGGCAGTTTTCCTGGCCAACCTCCTGAAGTCCACTTCTATGAAACATAATTGGTGTCCATGGCAAGTCTATGCCTGTGCAAACGGCATTGTCCGAGTGCGCAAGTCTTCCAAACTCTACTTTTACACGATTGGGTTCTGCACATAATAGGTCTGCACATAAAGTGGGTGCATGGTCAACCCAACGCAGTCCTGTGCTCTCGCACGCGAGTTCGTCGCATGAACTCCTCGGGTGCACGGCGTGCACAAATAGATTGCACACGCCATTTCGGGAAGAGAATCCATGAGAAACAAATCAAATTGGGTGAGAGAGGACATGAGGGCGGATGACATACGTCAATGTATGACTGCGCTTTTGGTTTTAGGTAATTCCTGCCCATCCAGCCACTCATTCCCTTGACCAGTCGACCAAGTCTCTGTTGCGTGCCACGCCCTCGACCCGGCGGCGCTTCGTCCCGGTCTCTCCTGCGGTCCGGTCTGTTCAACACGGAGTGAGTTCGAGCGACTGGGAAGAGGGGTGCTGCTCCAAGCGAGTGCTACTAGCGATGCACTTGTTACTAATGGCTTCTTGCTACAAATAGCGCTGCACTTGTTACTAATGCTTGGTAGCAGATAGACGGAGTGTTGTTCCAATCTTAGAGGAAACTGCTACAGGGATGGTGAATGATGATAAATGCAACATTGTCATGAATCAGACTCCATCTTGCAGGTTTGCACCCTTTGCAGCATGTTGATGTTGGCAAGGAGAAGATCATATGGAATCATAAGGTACAAGGGATCCAAAATGAAAACAATTATATACGCCTTGCAGTGTCTGATCTTTCATGTTCTCAGGATCAAACAAAGAGAGTGTCTATATAGTGTCTATATCATATAGCCAAATATCGTGTATCTACCAAGGAACAAGAATCCTTTTCTAGTAGAGGCTACTGCCAATGGAGCTCGGTGCCTTGGACTGGAGCTTTCCGACGCTTTTTTGTCTCGACGTCGAGGGGCGCCTCGATCTGAGTTCAGTGGACATGGACAAACATGGGATGTGTTGGAGAAGACGCTGAATGGCAAGGTGAGACAGAGCCGGAGCGGGCTTCAAAAAAAGTAAATTAAGTAAATAATAGCCATGGCCTCCAACCTAATAGTGATGGCCTCTAGCCTACTAGCGATGGCCTCCAACCTACTAGCAATGGCCTCCAACACACCAGAAAGTCTTGGTGGGTCTTCCCAAACTTAGAGTGTTCACATCCCCGTGATGCACGGATCTCAGTGAGTCTTATTCATTTACCAGGATGGACTGACTGGGAGGATGTTGGATTCCCGTCTCAAACCATTCATTGAGGCCACCTCCTAGGGCCACCTTCTTTGCACGGGCCACAAACATGCTGGATCAACCCAAATATGACTTTCACCTGGAGTGTGGGTTGTTCACGCTTTTTTAGTGGACGATGCCCATTGCTTTGGCAGAAACACTTTGAAGCCCTAAGATTCTCAGTCTCATCGCGGGCCTTGTGCTTTGGCAACGGCACCATTCGTCCTTCGCCTCGATGGAGCCTCAGGAAGTGGACTGAAAGGAGGACGAACTGGGCCTCACATTGAGGAATGAATCTGCAGGGACGAACTGGGGATAAAGAGCTCTGCAGATTCAGCGGGGAAGTCAAGATCATTGTCTGACTTGCGTGTGCTTTCTAGATGTGTGAACCTCCATGCTGCTTGAGGGTAATTGGACAGTCTTTGAAGGTTTGGGTGTATAAGTGTAGGTGAGGATCATTTTAAAACCGTTTGTCCCGTCAACCCCCATGTCCACAGCCAAACCTTCTGTTGGTTTCTCGATCTAGGTGTGCTTCTTGCATGAAGATGTCATGAAGCAGTGGTTTTGCGTTTATTTGATCTTGGTCTCCACTTCCAAACAAGCGCCTTGGCAGCGGGGACGGCGCAGTTGCGGGCTGGCCGTGGAGGAGATGGCGAAGTTGACGGAGTACCTGCAGGCGATGAAATCTGCCTGCTGACCTCCCAAGAAACTCGTGTTCAACAAAAAGGGTCAGAATAGAAAGCTCAACCAGCCAAGGCTCGACTGGTCTCTTTTCAACGCTTGCATTGAAGAACTCCTGTGGTCTGAAAAAACACACCTGTGGTCAAATAAACTGGCAAGTGCCTGAGAACTAGATGTCTTTTAGGATGTGTAAAGGACGAAAGGCGAGGACTTGAGATTGCTGTCGCCAGTCTTGTTTGGGTCATTCGATGGCCAGGTCGGGCCATGTACTTGTGATCAGTCGCAAACAAAGTTGAGCTCGTGGTGCAGTTGATGTACTTGTGATCCGTTTGCACTGAGCAGAGATGAGCAGAGTCAGCGAAGTCAGTTCCACAAGAGGCACGGGTCTGCGGAACTGGTTCTCCTTTTTGCCAACTTCCATCGGGAAAGAGAAGTACCTACCAAGAGACTAATCACACATCGGTCAAGCAAAGACAAATGTTGCTCCTTTTTCTGATTGATTAGTGTATGTTAGTGTCATTGTTGCAGTGTCGAATGCTCCACAGCACTCTGATGCAAGAGAATCTGTTGGTTTTTTTTTTTTTAAGATTCGAACAGAAAAGGAAAGGAAAAGCCTCAAAAGGTTGTGCGTTGTGCATCATGTCTATGAATATACTGACTGTAGTGGTTTTTTCACCATCTCTACCAATTACCATTCTTCCAGAGCGGAGCGGTCGATCTGATCTGTTGCTGTTGATTGGCCTCTTCAACATCAGCTTCAGTCTCCTTCAGCAACATCTGCACGAAGGTATCAATTCTCAGGTCTTTAGGCCTCCAGGACAGGCAAATGATGGCTGGTGCTTGATCTCTTTCCCTTTTCTGTCTTTTCTTTTGCTTGTCCATTTCTTTTTTGTGTTTCCTTGTTTCAGCTAAGGTGGAACATCAAAATCATCCCACGCACAGGCCGAGCTGCCGAATTTCAAAGCTGCACAAAGGGCAGCGCCAGCGGCTGTTAAAAGCTTTCGTGCGAAAATTGGAGATGAGGTATGCATCCAAGTCGATGCACCTGAAGAAGGGTGGATACTCAAGATTTGGATTTGGGTGGATGGTATGTCTGAAGCCTCTTTGAAGGTCTTGGAAGAACACACCCACTATACAGTAGCCTATAACGCATATCTGCGAAATGCTTCGGAAGATCTTCGGTGATACACTTACAAATCTACTGTACACCCAAACAGATTGAATGTCCGTCAGCGATGATCGTGTGTGAGCGATGTTCAAAATCTCGCAACATTGCGAGTTCAACGGATTACCATACATTGGGAAAACTTGAAAACGCCATTAAGAGCTCATCTGTTCATCTCAAGAGCTTCATGAATCCGAGCTCTGCGCTGAAAATGGCGGCACTCGGTACCTCTCCGTGTGTCGTCAGCGCGTGCAATATCAACGTTGATCAAGTTTGCATCAAGTTTACGGTTCAAGGTCTCCATAAAATGTCCGGAGAAAGTCGGTCCGGAGAAATTCTCGTCACACCGCTATTGTCCCAACGAACAAAACGAGGGGGGTTACGTGTGGTGCAACCACCCAAAGGGTTTTGCCAATGCTATCACAAATTACTGCTCAGGGCTTCCTCCTGATCAGTGATGATTATTTTTGTTATTCTCTTTTGCACATGAGCATTTCAGCTTGCCTCGCACCGGAAGTGTGCTTGGCCGTGTCAGCATAATAGGGCATCTGAGCGAAACAGGACGCTTCGCATTCAATCTTTGCCACCAGCATGCCTTTCAGGTCTTCCCTATCTTCCGGTAGACTCTTCTAAAAAGCTACAGATGACTTGCTGTTTGGAACGTGCAGGATCAACAAACGGCGCCAAAAAATTGCAGTTACACCTGGACCTAATTATTCTTTTCATGTCTCAGTCTGCTGTCAAATCTTTGCGCCAATGCTGTCTGACGAAACACGATGCCTGCAAATCCTTCGGTGCGTTCGTCTCCTCGCTTCAACCGTTCACTTGGGCGTGCACTGCAGCTTCAACCGTTCATCGCCGACCCGTTCGACCTGTCACTGTCGTCTTCACCCCGAACGGCGTTCGCGGTCCGTCGGTGGCGCAGTCGAGTCCGACTTGCAACCGTGCTGCGCCGTCGAGACCGTGGTGGGCCCGCCCTCGCAGAAGCGACATGTCTGCGCCAAGGTTCACTGTTCGGAGCAAGCAACACATATTGATGCGCCGCAAAAGTATGAATAGTTATGTAACTTGAGGCCAAGGGGGGGGGCGAAAGCTAGCGCTCCAGAATGGGAAAGTGGAGGGCAGCGAGGTAGGAAAAAACACGGCGCTCTTTTTGGAGGCAGTCGCACGGAGTAGCAGAAGGCAGGACGCCTTGCACAAGTTGGGCGGGGCAAACGATTCCAGGTGAAGAGTCCTTTATATGTGGCTCTTTGCCCGGATCCTCCTGCGAGAGAAGAGAGAGAAGAGAGACGGAAAGACGAGAGACAGAGAGGAGAGAGAGAGAGAGAGGAGAGAGAGATGAGAGAGAGATGAGAAAGAGATGAGGGAGAGATGAGAGAGATGAGAGAGAGATGAGAGAGAGAGATGAGAGAGATGAGAGAGAGAGAGAGACAGTGAGAGTGAGAGTGAGAGTGAGAGTGAGAGTGAGAGTGACAGTGAGAGTGAGAGTGAGCGAGTGTGGCCGCAAGATACGCAACGCTAACCGCATGCCAAAGAGCGACGACAGGACGGAGTCGAACTTGCGAAGAGGGAGGAGGGAGGGAAGGTGGGAGGAAGACAGTTTCAGCCACCTCGTGTGCACCTCAACCCGGACCAACGGTCGTCTTAGGTGCGATCTGCTGTCCGTCGTCTTCCACTTCAAGGATCTCAAGTTGGAGGTGATGCGGCTCCGACCGACCAATGGAGCTACACTCCCAGGTGAAGAGTCCTTTATATGTGGCTCTTTGCCCGGATCCTCCTGCGAGAGAAGAGAGAGAAGAGAGACGGAAAGACGACAAACAGAGAGGAGAGAGAGAGAGAGAGAGCGAAAAGAGAGATGAGAGAGAGATGAGAGAGAGAGAGAGACAGTGAGAGTGTGAGAGTGAGAGTGAGAGTGAGGGGGAGGGGGGTCTTCGACTTGAAAAATCAAGGGTTAGGATTTGCACCCGATCGAAAGAAACCTTGCTATCGCAAGAGTAACTCCAGCTAGCTTCGCTAGCTTTCGTGATAATTACCAATACAAACCATGTTACAAACCTATATACCATATAAGACCGGACCATATATTAGTATATGCTGCATTGTTTTTTGTGACTTGCTTAAGGCCTTGTGCCAAAGACTCCCGCAGAAGAGCTTGTATCCGCTGCATGCAATCCTGTCAATGAGGGCACTCAAGGCACTTGTGCGAGCATGACCTGTACAATGATTCAGGGTGCCGTATGTCGGCATTGCACCCTACAAATTCTCCAAAAGGGGAAAAATCAAAAGACTCGTTCAATGTGCTTCCGTGCTTCCCATTTTGAGACGCACACATGAGACGCACCATGTGTTCATTCACAATTGGCAGATGAACAGAACGTGAGGCTTGCCTGATAGGTCTCTTCAGGAATGGAGCGGGACAGATCCCGAGGCTTCAATGGCAGCGTCCTATGATGCGTCAACTCTCTCTGCCTGCCTGCCTGAGTGCGTGCCTGCCTGCCTGCCTGTCTGCCTGCCTGCCTCTTGTCCCTTGTCCCTTGTCCCTTGTCCCTTCTCTCTTCTGTCTTCTCTCGTCTCTCTTCTCTCTTCTCTCTTCTCTCTCTCTCTCTCTCTCTCACAATCAATCCTCTTCTTGTCAAGTGTCCACATTTCTTTTTGTCACACTGGGCATTACTGAGTCCCTCAGGACATCTTGGCCGTTGACGATCTGCACACAATCTGCACTGACCACCTCACCGTTTCGGTCCTCACCACCGCCAACAAGAAGTCGCGCCTGGACCAACCGTGAGATGAGATGAGGGTGTCGCACCACAATAAGGGTCGGCTGAGTATCCAGGCGCAGTGATCCGGAACTCAGGCAGTCTAAAGACAGTTTCATCATAATTAGTGTAGCAATTGCAGAAACTGCGCTTGTCTCAGAAAGACTCCTCGTTTGAAATCTATCCAGCAAGCTTCGCACTGAGTTGGTTCCGGTCCCTTTATCAACAGGCCTTGAAGCATGCTGGCTGTCAGACAGCCAAACATGTCCGAAAACGAGCACAACAACGGGCCTATGTCTGCCCAGGTAATGGCTTTGTGAGTGCTTGATCGTGCATAACTTCATAGCCCCCTGCTCACTTCACACATCTTCACACATTCCGCAACCATTCGCCGCCTCCGCTCATCTTCAGCTGTCACTTCCACCGCGTTCGTCCCACGGCGAAGATTTGCCTCTGGACGGGCAGAATGAGCCAAAGCGGGTCGCAGGAAGGTTGCTGCCACGTTTCAAGCGAGTGACGGCCAGGACTGCACGGTGCACTCGGCACAGCTAAGGCAACAGCCGAAAGACTTTGCGGCAAATCGCGACGCTTATGCCTTGGAAAATATCGCGCCAAGCAGATTGAGGCTTAACTCCTATGTCCTGATTCTGCTGGGAGGCAACCAGTTGATGAAGAATTGATGGACAACTTGAATACAATGCATCACGCAAGTTGTAGTCGGGCTGAAAAGGATATATATATATATAGATAGATAGAGATACAAGTAGGATTAAGATAGATTAAGTGCGTGGCCCGCGCAATGGGACTTTCGTAGTGAACACCTCAAGTCGTTCGCACGCTGCACACCGACGCCCAGCGGAGCCAACGGGTCGAACAGCACCGGCAGTGCCTCGTGGCCATTCACTTCGATACTCAGGAAGCTTGGCCACACCTAACCAGCTTGGCAAAAAAGAATGCGGGGTGGTGTGGCTGCGGCTGTCTTGGCTTTGTACTCCAAACAACTTGCGGGTGAACTTGTGTTAAGTGTTGTCAAGTGCTACGTGAGCAAGTCGATGACAACTCACCTGCTGCAGAGACTGTGACTCGGCGAGGGATCGCCTGAACGCAACGGTCGGCTCCGCGGTCGTGAATTCACTGCCATCCTTTAAAATGAACCAGGGCATTTGCGGCATCGGCCACCACGATTGAAGGCTTCAACTTGCAGATTTGGCTGTAGAATATGGAAGGTTGAAAAAATAAATCAAGCACCATTGAAACCAATCGCATCTCATCCGATCTCTCTTTCGACGCCGAAGGAGACCACTCCACCTTCACCGTGGTTGACCAACCCGTCGCTTGGTCTCGCCTCGACCTCCCCCGACGTGGCTGGTCCGGCGCCTGCGGAGCCCCCGGATCTCCACCTCGAAGCCGTCCTTGCGCCACTGCCGGAGGTCGGGCACCTCGGCACGAAGACGCGGCTGGAACCAATAGCGATGGCCTCCAACCTACTAGTGATGGCCTCCAACCTAATAGTAAACAGGGGCCTGTGGGACGCCTGGGATGGGCGTGTTGGAAGAGAGAACTGCGTCCGAACGGTGGGTTTGGACTGGTGACTGGAGTCAGACTCCGAGTCGTTGGAGGCGGTTCCACCGCATGTGTTGGAACCGCACGGACCGCTCGCCTCCAAATCGAAGGTCAAATGTCGACCAGGGAGTACTGACAAGTACATCACGTGCTCCAACTGACCAGCGATGGAAGTTGATGAGCCAGAGGGCCAGAGGCGACATCCAGTATAATAGTATACTCAGTACCCGGACCATCCACACCAATCCACCAACCAATCCACACCAATCAGAAATATCTCGAGTCCAAAAATCAGCCGTCTCTTTGAAAAGCACGTGACAATCCTTGACACCAAATGAGACGCAGAAAAGGTACTGCAAACACTTGACAATGCTTGGGAATGGTGGTTTCCCCATGAAACTGCTCGCCTCCTGCACGGGCCTGAAAGGATCCATCTCGCGAAAACAGCACCTGAGCCGTTGCGGTCGTGCCGAACTCGTGGTTGCTATGCCGTGGCCGGTCCCGGCCGGAGGACGTAGGCGTAAACAAACGGTACTGGTAGGGACGTCATGCAGTCTAGGGATGTAACGGTTTGACTTGTGGTCCAAGACGTAACTACTTGCGAAAGACGAACGTCAATAGTCAAAAAACATGCCAAGCGCCTCAGACTTAGGCATACTGCATTTGTTTGCTCTAGGTCTAGGTTGTGGACGCATTGCAAAGTGGGCGATCAGGAAGGTGTCTAAGCCTAGAAGCTGGAAGGTGTCTTAGCAAGTCAAACCTCAACATGAGGGATTGTTTCCTTCGTGGTTCCCCCACCCCGTTTAATTCTATAGACCAAAGCACATATTTTTCCTTCAAGGAGGTTTGTGGAACAGTGGTTTTGAGTGCTTTGGGATGCTTTTGGACTTGTCTTTCCATGGCTTCTCTCCCTCGGCCTCTGCTCAACTGGCTGCAAAGCTCGTCGGCACACGGCACATGGAGTGCCCTCCGGGCTTACACCTAGCGAGACAAAAGAAGAAACTTGCATCCAACTACTCCGGTGCTGAGGTGGATGAACAAATTATCAAACATGTGCTAGTAACTGGTCGCCTTCAAGGGTCGCGTAGAAAATGGGTGGAAGAGTGTCTACTGCTGTGGGATCTCAACACCAAAATTATACCAGCATAGACCCCAAACAGTTTCAAAACGATTCGTTGGGGCCAATATTAGTCAAAAACGATTTCTTGGTACGCCCGACCTTCCCCCCTAGAGGACATTGCGTTATCAATGATTTTTGTCGGCATCGACATCGCTGATTGCTCAGCCATAAGAGAAGACAAGAGAAGAGCAGGACAAGAGGACAAGACCCGGTCACAGAGCCCGGCCACAGAGTTCAGGGGCCCAGCCAGTCAGTGTGTCCAGGGCTGGTCAGCGCGGCCAGAGGACAAGAGAAGGACAAGAGGAGGACAAGAGGAGGACAAGACCCGGCCACAGAGCCGGGCCACAGAGCACGGCCACAGAGCCCAGCCACAGAGTTCATGGGCGCGGCCAGTGAGTGAGTGTGGCCAGCTCTTTTTTCTAAGATGCTAGTAGAACCCCAACAGTAAACTGTTTGGGGAAAAAAGATAAACTCGGATTGTAGTAGCTCTAACTGTAGAGGCCATTCTTGATCATGCATCGCTGTTGGTGGGTTGATGAGGAATCAAACGAAATGAACGACATTGCTGTCCCATTGTTCTGCATACTTCATGCATCTCTGGAAGCTTTTGCAAGCCGGGTTTGCTATGGAAGTTTTCCAATCACAGGACATCAGCAATTCCCATCTTCAAAATTGGAGCCCGAAAAGTTCTGGATAGAACTGACAAATGAACATGCATTCTATGGTTGCGGGCCTTGGGAGACTTCCATGTTTTGATAGGTTCCGGACCTGTGTGTTCCTTGTTCCGGACCCAAATGGCCAGCGCCTTTGCTAAGGGCAGGATTGGTCCCAGCATCCTCAGAAACAGGTAGATGAATGTGGTTCGCTTCTCAGCTTTCCCGCAGCAGTATATACTGGGGTGCATGGGGTGCTTGAGGGGGCTTGCAAGCTACTTGTTTCTCCCTCCGCTTGTGCCTTTCCGACCTGTCCTTTTGGGTGCTGAGGATCTGGCAGAGTGATCACTCAGTTGCTCTTCCTCGTCCTCCCAGCTCAGAACAGAACACCTTCGTTCTAACCTGAGAGGCCTCAGACAATCCTCTGTTGCAGTTGGTAGGGTCGATATGGTTTTAAGTACATGTACTGCTGACATGATTGAAATTGAAATCTGCGTGTATGAGGGATCTTTTGCTAAGCTCACCTAAAAATGAACTTCCGTTTGCAGAGTTTTGTTTTATGTTTTGTGTCTGTGTATACATGTACAAAAACATACACAGGATCCTGATATTCTCGACATGTCTAATTACATGCTCATCTGTGCCATCATGTTGGCTGCTAGATTGAGAGTTGGTCAATCAACTGGACAGAAAGGACGAGCAACAGCTGTCCAAGAAAGGTGTTTTGCCGTACAAACGGTGACTCCTAAGACCTGCCATACTCTGTCTGCGCAGCAAACATTCCAGACCTGCTTCTCTTCCACGTGAAGGGCTTTCTCCTCCCAAATAGAACCGGACATCCTTTCCAACCCGTTTCTGCTACCGTTAACAACCTAGCTTACCATCGAAATATTTGGTAGGGCATGGCACGCTTTGGAGCCAAGAGCCAAGAGTACTGTCCCAATGTGTCGTGGTCTTCGTCTCTTTGGAAATGAGACTCGACATGTAAAATCGCTTGACTCGTCAGCGCTTCGGAATCAAGTCGGAGTGCCCAACCATTGACTCGTCGACTCCTTTCATCGTCCTCTTCAAACCCATGCTGGTCTCCTCCGCACCATGCATGGCACCGCATGAGGCCCTGTTTTCACATCTTGTCAGATTTGCATAGAATGCGACATTGCTTGAAACAAGAACTAAAGGAAGTACCAAACAACTGTGACACTAGTAAATACTTTGGGCAGTGGAAGTAGATGTTGAGAATCACAGGCCCTCATTGTTTACGTAAATCCTTCTTTTGTCACGATCTTCTCTCGCCCAAATCTATTTTGCAGGCCTCATCTTCACTCTCAAAGTTCTCAAATTCACCCCAAGATGTGCTTAGACGGTGACAAAAAGAGATCTAAACGTTTCAGGGGAGTTGCATGAATCCCTTTTGACTAAACGGCACGTGAGCCCAAACGCTTCGGCTCCACAGTCACAAATCTAGTTCAGGCCGAGGTCACACCAGTTCAAGTGGGTGAGGTCACACAGAAGCCTTTCATCCTTGAATCATCTACTGCTCTTGTTTTGTGTTGTCAATTTCCGTGAAAATCTGCATGAGATGTATGATGAAGCTGAGCAGCTGTTATTCCTCTCAGGATCAAAGCACCGTTCTTTCTAAATATGTTCCTTCACCTTCGGCCAGAGGCATCATCCGAGTGGCGTCGCCTCCTTCGCGACCAAACTGCGGCCTCCTCTACCATGCTCCTCTCCAAGTGTCATGACCCGGTGACCAGGTGACCAAATACAGGTTAGGTTGGAGGCCATCGCTGGTAGGTTGGAGGCCATCGCTATTAGGTTCCCTTAAAGCTAATCAGGTTGCTATTAGGCTCCTTTTAAACCTTCGTTTCTTTCTTTTTCGTCTCCTTTCGGAGGTACGATGCTGTGCAGGATTCTGTTCCATTCGAAGGACGGAACGTCATCGAAGGCGCTCGCATAGGCCTTGCTTGATGCTTGACGCTGGGGCCGTCGCACCACGTCAGTTTTCTTGGACAGTGGATTCCTCAAGGCTCATCCTCTTGGTCGAGAAGACTTGGGTGTCCCCACATCATAAAAGTCCTGCGAGCCGGATGTCATATTGGAGGAGGAGGAGGAGTTATATACCTGTTGTTTCTTCTTGGCATCCAAAATGGTAGGGTTTCTTCTCCTAGCTAGGAAAACTGATATGATTTGCCCCCCTTCAACGCCAACAAGAAGAACCACCACTGCCGCTGCCGCCAACAGCAGCAGCAGCAGCAGCAATAGCAATGCATGGAAGCTTGCTCAAGTCAATAGTGCTGCCATCATGTTGTGCACTTGGGCGGCTATTTGTACATGTTGTTGAGATAGTTCTGCACACTCCCACACTAGGCATTGCACTGCGAGTCATTATATACACATAACGTTGTTGCAGTATAGCTTTGTATAGCTACATCCTTCGGATTTGGCAAGCAAACCCCCCAATGTTGGGGTCAAATGGAACCCCATTCGTCCGTCCTTGATGCGTTGATCTTGTCTTTTCTCTGCGACAGCTCTGCAGCATAGGGACCGTTCTCCAAGCAACTGCAAAGCTCTTGAAGAGAGACAAGTGGAGACCTCATATGCTTGAGACGACAGGATGTGAAAGCGTGTGCAGATCTGTGATTCAATTGTTCAAATCCAACATTATCAGGGTGCTTTGCTGCTCAATTTCTCCATGTCTTTCTCAGGATGTCTTGACTAAGCCCCACACAGCTCTTGCAAGTCCGGATTCGTTGCAAACTTTGCATCCACTTCTGCATGGTGCTGGTAAGCAGCTCCTACATGGAGCAAAGCCTCACGATCTTCATAAATTCCAGCCTCCACATCCACATCCCAAATACATTGAATCTGCTGTGGCGTGACGTGATGGATGACCCAACTTCGGTGTGTCACATGTGACCATAAGCTTGGATTGCAGCTGGGCTCCATGGCAAAGACCCTATAAGAGTCCCGATCGTCCAAGGTTAACCTCGCCACAAGGCCCGTCTCGTCGCGGAGATACCGTAGATGCACTCCGAAACTGGGGTCGTCCCCTGCGATGACCTGAGGGGCTCAGGGGTTCGATGGTCATTCTCCGATGGAAAACCCGGAACTGACGGAACCGAATGACATGAGTCATCTGACCTGGTTTTTTGGTGTTTGCAGCCATGCCAACACTTCCTACCTGCCCCGTCGCGGAATGTGTCCTCAGCTAAGATTAAAAAGAAGGCTGCTACCATGCCCCCAATCAGCTCTTTGAGCCCAGCCGCTCGTATACCGTGACTGAGTGAGGCCAAGCCGTGGACCACATCCATCGAGAGAGCACGAAGCAAGCCACGAGCATAGGGTGGAAAAGCATCGAAGGGATAAAAGTCTTCAGAGTTGTAGAAAGCATGACCCTCTTCTCGTGGAACTGGGCTGAAATAATCAAAATAGCCCCAAACATACCTAAGCAGGTCTTTCCCCAAGCTGAAGAGCAACGCTAGACCAAGACATTTGGATTGGCAAGATTTTAAGTGTTCACTGGCCACAAAATCCCGACAATTTGTCCACAGGGGACCTCCAACAAGTAGAGATGCCACGATACCCAACTTGAGGTCTCTGCCTCAGAAGCGAGATCAATGGAAGTGGTCGCACATACACGTCGTCATCCACCTTCACCAAGAACTGGGCCAAAACGTTGCTGGAGCACCACTCCAAAAATCGTAAGCCCTTCATGGAGTTCCACTGGTAGCCTTCCGGAACATCCAAAAGCACCATGTCCTGGTGCTTTTGGATTTCTGCCCGGACTTGGGTCGCAAAGCGTTCATCTGGACGACCTAAAAAGAACTTCACATGTCCATAGAGCTGGAACACACGTCCCCAGGTTCGACGAATCACAGCCCTCTTGGCAAAGTTGTCTTGTGCTGAGTAGACTCCAACGAACAGCAATAGGGAATCAGCTTGCTCCTCAACCAAGCGGGAATCTCTTACGCTTGAACACAAGGTGCACGAAAAGTGCCTGAAAGCCCTGTCGAAGTCATAGGCATATCTATAGAAAAGCTGATCATTCAGCAAGCGATGTTGTTGCCATATTGGCCCTATCCTGAGCACGATCAGAAAGTCTGCAAAGAGTTCTTTTTGCCACCGAGTGCTTAACTTGACACAGCTTCTTTCAAACTTGCACCAGTAACTGCCCACTCTAAATGAGAACCGGCACAATGGGCCTAAACACCGATGATCTAGCATTTACTTTGCTGCAAAGCCAACCTCCAGCTCAACAAAATTCAGCAAAAGTATGGTGCATATACATTCTTCGTTCGCTGAGTCCGCACGGTTCATCAACGCTCTGTACTTCCGACTCAACCTTCAAAGCCCTTTCCCGTCAGCCTTGCTATTCTACACCCCTGCTTGACACTCCAAGTACTTTTATCTTGCAAGATCTGCTCTGCCCTGCGCGTTTGCTCATTCAAACGCAGGCTTCTGGCTAGAGTAGACCAGGGTAGAGCAGAATACAGGTAAGCTCTTCTGTTCTCACCTCTTTATTGTCCTTCTGTATAGTCCAGGCTAGGGCAGAGTAGAACTGAAGGAAACGTGTCCTGATGTGTTGTTGTTCGCTTGCCCATTCTCCTTTCTGGTGTTCTTTGCTTTCCTGATGTGTGCAAGGCTTTGGCGCAAAAACCTGGCCGTCTGTGGTGCTTGGGAGGCGATGCATTCGCAGATGGGTTGCACGGTTTAACAATAATTATAAATTATAAGCATGTTGAATATAAATAACCCCCCCCGTGAGCACCCGTTGGGGCCCCTTGCGTAACTCTGCAAGAATCTAGTACCAAGGATCTCATGGTTGATCTCTGGAACAATGGAAAGAAACTGATCAAGTCGAAAACTTGATCGATTCCAAGGCAGGACCACACGTGGCAGCATGGCAAGCATGAAGGAGAAGCCATTGAAAAAAGGGAATGCTGCCCCATGCAATTGCATGAACCAGAGCTTGCGAAAGTGTGTGCAGTTCATCATCAACAATCAAGGTAAAACGGTACTTCCGAAAGGCTCTCTCCAGGGTACTGCCAAGTCCATCATCAATGAAAGTATGCTGCGGCAACAAGTCGACTGCTTGCTGTGCCAGTAAACTTGTAGTCTCATCTTCCCACGATGAGGAAGTGTCTCTCGGCAGCAGAATAGAAAGCCTGGTGTGGGCAAAGAATCAGGTCCTTGCCACGATCCTATTATTCACTTGGGGAAAGAATCCTCGATGCCAGGAGCCCTAGTAGCGTCCTTGCTCCGAGTAGCGATGCCAGGAGCCCCTAGTAGGTAGCGTCCTAAATAGCATGTCTTGGGTCTCAGTGCACCAAGCAGCAAATTATCTTTCGCAGCCAGGATTGCATCCAGGGCCTCATTTCCAATGCGAGGCATGGGGTGCAGCTTCTCTAAAAAGATCACTTGGCCATTCCGTGCTGCGAAAGGAACGGTCTTCAAGCTATCTGTCAGGACAAAATCATTATCTTTCAATGTGCTCTGCAGCGTGTCTGGATTTCGTTCATGCGAAATCCATGCAACCTTGCACTCCACTCCATCCAAATCGACTTGAAATGTATCATCGCCCCCTCTCGGTGTCACCGTCGGCTTGAAGCCATGACAATTTGCAAACTCTCCTTGCTCACTCACAACTCCAGCTACATACAGTAGAAGCAAGTACATCGAACCGGACAATCCTGTGAGCCTTCTAGCTGCGGGAGTTTTGAGATCGCTCCAGCATGACTCAAGTTTGTGCCAAGGGGACTTTGGGTGAAATGCATTGAAATGCATTGGTTTAATCCAGCACTCTGTTTTTTGGTCATCACAGGTCCTCATCAGCTTTCATCAGCTTTCGTCAGCCTTCATCAGCTCGCCACAACCACGTCTGCACACCATCCAGCAGTCTGAGTTCAGCTACAGTATATGCGCCTTCCTCAGCGGCCGACCCCGCTCATGCCAAGCGATCCGTGTCATGCAAGATCCGTGATGATCCGCGCAGCGCATGCGATCATCCGAGGGAGGTCCAAGGCGTTTCCGAAGTGCTGATCATCATGCGTACTACTGCCTTGCAGTGTTCATAAGAGCATTCCTCCACCAAATTTCTTGAGGAACCTCAGACCGGCGGATTAAAGATCTACCATGAACCATCAGTTTGTCCATGTTTCGATGTTCCAACTGCGTGGTGTTTATATGTCTATAGATATTTTTTATTTTTCCAGTAGTATAACCTCAAAGTCTCTTCTTTCTAAACACCTCCAGCTCACATGTTACTGTTCCGCGGCCTTGATCGTGTTGCATTGTCCATCTTCACTTCAAGAAGTACATCGCTCGTGTCCTGATGAATGGAAAACATCTCGAACCAAAATGTAACTGGCTATCACACGTGCAGTTCGTTCTCGATGTAAGTTTTTTGAACTAGTGCCCCCACTTTAACATGACAGGAACCAGGCTGAATTCGTGAAAACCGAAAGAAAAAGGTTACACATGGTTACATGATTACGCCAGGAAAATAGTTCCTTTCCAGAGATGTCCTTTGAAAGGTACTACAGTTACTACAGTACATGGTATTACTCTATGGGCCATTCCGGTTCGCAGGAAGGTCCACGAACTGAGGTACGTTCCACCAGAAATTCGAAGTGTCTCGCAAAAGTCTCCGGAGTTCACAAATATTGCTTTCATGCAGCTACATAATGCTATATATTAGTTTGGCTATTTGGTTGAGAAAAAGACACAAAAAAGTGTGCAATCAAGTCGTTGAACATAATGCGCTCCAAAAGGAACATTACCACCCCTCCTTGCAGGACGCAATGGAGTCCTCGACCACCTCAAGAAGTTCAGGTAGCATCAGTTCAATGTTGCTTGTTTGTCGAAACAAAGTAGCCATTTCTGTTCACAACACCAAGGCCTGAAGTAGACTCAGTCTACAAACTGATTCTAGCTGCAAACACAACTCAGCGTGCACCAACAAATTCGAAAGAATTGTCTTGCCAGTGAGCCGTTGATGAAGCACACAAAACATTCCCTGTACAGTGTACATTGCACATCGCCCTTTGATAGAGTTTGCTTTTTCAAGCGTCCAAACAGCTGGAAGAGTCGGACTTGCAGAATGCTCCACCAACCAGAAAGAGGCGTCAGGTTGATCCCTGCATATCATTGCACACCATCACTGCTATACATATCACGCTCAAGCCAATCGGACTTGTCAAGCACAGGCTTTGAGGTCGTGGCTCTCAAATGTCAGAGATTCTTTCATGGCCTTCCTAGTCCCAGTTGGGAAGAGCTCGCGATAATTGCGGGCAAGACTGCATGCTGGGATGCAACTTCAATTTGCCAAGTTTTACTGCTGTCAACTGTAGGTATGCATGCAAACGCTTTTTTACTCAAAACACGTGGTAAGGCAGCCAAAAACCAAGCGCTTCAATGTCGGCCTCCCAACCAGAATGGCGCTCTGCTTGTCAATAGTCTTGAAAGCAATCTTGAAGCCAAGGAAGGCTCTCAGGAACCACGGCAATGTTATCGACATGACGCAGCTCCTGTTAAAGCTCAAACCACAGCGATTCAAGGCACGACAATCATCTTGCTTCTCTGCCATGTGAGGTTCAATGAAGAACTGCCCTGATCCTGATCAAAGGAAGCATATATGTTGCTCCATGTTCAATTGGAGAATACCAAGGTGGCAGTCGGACTTGCAGAATGCTTCGCCGACAGGACAAGTAGCACCATGTTGATCACTGAACGTAACATTGAGGTACGTCCAGCTTTGCCAGTTTGCAGATAGCTAGACGCTTGCTACAATGCCTGCTTCTGCAAAATCATGAAAACAAACTCACGCTTTACTGCCTACGGCAAGGAAGGATGATACCTGCAGCTTGATGCCTTGTTGTCCGCCGGAGTTCGGATGGGCCTCCATGTCAAGAGGGGTCCGATCAACTTCGACAATTCCTTCAACATATTCCTCCTTAACCATTGAAAGCTGATGTAGAGACTTCATCCAAGAACCCTGCCCCCCATGGTTCTCCAAGAACCCTGCCCTCCGTGGCTCAAGGTGCGTCTCTCCATCTGTTCTTCAACTGTTGGCTCATCTGCACGAAGCGAGGCTGTGCCAAGATTGCGCTGAATAATCTATTGAGCTTCTTCCAGGGGGATACTTGCAGCAGGCTTATCGTGCGAAATGGGCAACCAGCCTAGATTCAAAAACTTCAAGCCCTACATCAGTGAGTAGATTCAAAAGCCTGATGAGTTATTTCAACAAAGCTCTCAAAGCTCTCTGTGACTGGCAAAGGATCATGCATCCCTGACTGCTCGTGTGGTTTGCAGGTCGGTTGGGTATCGGGCTTGATGATCATCACTTTCAAGGGCACTGTGCTAAGGGTTGGAGACTTCTGCAGCAGCCGCCAACACCTCTACCAACGCTTGCAAGCCACAGCAAAGCCAACGGATCGTTGCTTTCTCACAACTCCGATCACTGCTGCAGAAAATCATATGTGCAGAGTTCCCCACCGGATGGCGGACACAGAACCGCACGTCAGCGAGTCCAGCTTTCATGCACTCAGTGCAGCCTGCAAGGCCATTTTGAGCATATCCATGGTGTCTATGCTTCCTTTCTGCATTTGCCGAAGTGGGCACAATGGGTCATGATGTCCCAATCTCGCTCTTTCCACACATTGGCCTGCACAGGCTCGAGCTCTTGCCAACAGCGAAGGGTCGCTTGTCTGCTCATACCAGGTATGTAACATACATGTCTGGTGGCACATTCGCCTCCCGATACAAGTTCGTCTCTCGGTAATGGAAGCTTTGCAACGTACATCCTGGAGCTGCTCCATGATTTCACAGGCTGCATTGATTAATGGTTCAGCTTCACGCAAACATTCCGACACAATGCCTGCCATTGCAAGAAACAGTTGGGCTGATTCGATCCTGTGACACTTTGCGGGAAATTGGCCGTGCTGCAGCTCAAGGCCAACACACAACCCAAAACATTTGAGTTGCCTGCAGGCCAGGCCACTTTCCAAAAAATGAAAAATAATAAAGAAACGTTCAATATTCCAAGTTGTTCAAGGATTCTTCCTACAGACTCCTCAGTTCATTCAAGTCACTGAACTCGTCTCGTGAAGAAAACTCCACAGATCTGCAGCCTCAACAAGTTCAGCGTGGCCGACTCAGTTCAGCCGACAGTTCTTCTGAAAGCTAGTTTCTACATGTATATATAGTATAATGCATGTGTAACTCGCAATTGATTGACAGCCCAAAGTCCATCAGAATGACCACATTCAATATCATTCAATCATTTGGCATCCCAACTAGCCTGCCTTCAAGAGAACAGTTTGGTCAAGTTGTAGAGTGCCAGATCAAGAGCAAGCCGAGCAAGCAATTTCACACATTGCGTGCGAGCTTTCATTCATCAAACATGACGCCTTCGAACCATTGACGCATGGAAACCATTGCGAACCAACAACATAACCTCAAGCAGGTTGCAGCAGACTTGCAGCGAGGTTCACATTGCCTGTTGTGGAGGGAGATCATGTGGGATACGTACCTGAGTCTGCTTTGGGCATGCTGAACAGATTTAGTAGAACTGGACATGGACATGATTTACACCAATGATTTGCTTAGTCAACCTGCGCACCCAAGAGAAAGCCCACAATTCATGAACAACTCCAAATATGTAAAAATATGTGAAATATTCTTGGCGCTGCTGTGCGCATGGCTGATGGCGCTGGTGTGGGCCACAAGAAAGAAGTATTGTCTGAGTAGGGTACACCAAATACAACAAGATTGAAGTGACCAGTCACCACCATGCATTGAAGGAGCTATGGCGCACAAATGGTCTTCACGTTTGCTACTGGATATGCACGGCTTCACGATGCTGTGCCCAGTGACACCCACCCAATGTGAGTGCACATGCTTATATCTATAATCTATATATATATTTATATTCACGATTACTGACGAAAGCTAAGCCTTGTGTGAAGATAATGGGAACGATGTGCTTGGCAACCTATGTGCTCAGGAATATGAGCAACTCCCAATCTCATAAAGGTGAAAATTCTTGGCCCTATGTGCCCAAGAGTACTAACGATTAACAACTCCCAATTTGTTAAAGTTATATACAAATACTGATCAAATGCGTGGTACTGGTGTGCGGGTTGCATATTCAGGAAATCAATCGAGAAGAGCTGTTTCATATCAAACCTTCTAAGTCGAGCGACATCGTAATGGCAAAGCTAAGTCGCCGTGTGAAATAGAGTACAATACATCTGCTTCCTTCTTGCCTTGCTCTTGACCTCTCTCGTCCCTCTCACTCTCTGCATTGCTCTTTCTCCACCACTACTCTACTAGTATCCTGTTCTCTCTCTTCTCTTCTTTCCTCTGTTCTACTCTGACCCTGCTCGATCCAAACTCTCTTTACTATGTGTGGTGGGGCACACAACTCAAACAATATAGCGCTCTAGGATCCGCTTTCCTTATTAGCCTTGAGCCACCTAATGTGTGAGGTTCGCCGTGACCACCTGGCGTACGAATTCGCACCGACGTCGCCTTCGGTATGCGCTGTCTGCGTTCGGTCCAGTTGAATGAGATCCATCTGCTTTCAGATGCAACGCTCATGCAGAGTTCCAACTGGACATCCAGCGCTTGATCCCTCGCTCAGGCTGCGTTGCGCTCTGAGTGCCAGCCTTGGTGCGTTCCTGAATGAGGAAGATGATGAGGCAAAGGAAGAAGTGAGAGAAGAGATTCTCCAACCCCAGGTAAGGCACGAAAAGGGTCCGCGCTGGGATTCTCCAACCGTGGAGGGTGAGATGATAGCCCTGGCGAAGCCTGCACAGAGGAGGCTGGTT